CGAGCCAGATGACCAACCTGCTGGATGCGTTCTTTAGCCAGAAAATCGCCGATGATATGGAACCTGTGTGCAGGTGCATTGATTGTCATGATGCAGCAAGGACCCTCGTGCTTGAGTCCTTGGACGACACCTGGTAACAGCTTGCAGCACTTTCGTTTGAGGAATACCTGGGTGCGTGAAAAGCATTTCGCGTACGTTGCCGGGTTGACCCAGTTATCCAGAATCATTTTGGCGTAGACCGGCGACCATTTATAGTGATACGTTTGGTCGAACAAACTCACTGTTTATAACATACTGCTCCCAAATCCGTTTACGGATTACATGTAAAATATTGAGAGATAAACGACATCAGTGTGTGTATATGTACGTGTGCAGGGCATATGAAAATGAATGATGTGCTTGGAGAATCGGAAGAAAATCTTCCAGGTTCTCNGGGGGGGGGGGTGGCGCACATACACCAATTAGATACGCATTTGTTTGCCTACATTCCGGTTTGGGAAACTATAGATTTGCCAGATTCACAGTACCCCAAGGCGCTGCAAATCGACACTGGTAAGCTCTCATCTCGGATACCAAATAGAAAAATGGAACGCTCCCGCTTAGATGTTGGTTTAGGAACAAGCATTCCAGCACGCTTCGCGATACAATTTTAGCACTGCACGTAGTCATGCAGCACATGGGATGTGCGGTTACGTAACCCGACTGTGGGAATTGGCATGTAATACACTCGATTGCCTGATCCTGTTGATGATTGTACTAGCAGTGGGAGGAGCTGAGCGAGATGTTGAGAGAAAAATAAAGCATTAATCGAAAGAAGACAGTTGGTTCCGATGGCATTAAACGAGAAAAAGCTTCTTCTCCTGTACAAACCCAGTGAAATGGGGAATTCATATTTAGATTCTGTGAGAATCCCACGAGTTCTCTGCCAGTCAGTAGGCCAGAACTGACGAAAAAATAACGACGGGCAGGTTGAGTTGTGCCAATTGCCGCATATTAAAAGAACGCAAATCAGAGTCCACTTGTTTGGCTCAGCACGTCAACAGCAGTTTTCCAGTTATTGTGTAGACATGCATGGAATGTGAGTGGCGTATCTTTGTGTGTGTGTGTGTGTGTGTGTGTGTGTTAAACTAATCACAGGTTCTGCTAATCTCTGTATATATAGATGGTTATGCACTTTTAGAACCGGGGCTTTACTTTACTCGATGATTACAAATGTGCGCCAACAGTGTTAGGCGATGGTGGCATTGACCAACTCCACCCAATCAGGAGACAACAGACTATCCTCTTCCGAGAGTATGGCTTTGGGCGTAGATCACACGTTTTGGATACGATGTTTGTGATACAGTAGTTTGAATATACCGAAATTCAAAGTAACTGTCTACTATAAATTTTGCATTGCTTTTAGCTAATTATACATTGGATGGTTGTGGCCGTAGTGGTGATTGTGGTGGTTGTGATGGTTGGTGTTGGTTGTCATAGTGGTGGTGGAGGTGGTGGTAGTGGTGGTTTTGGCAGTGACGGTGGCATTGCTGGTGGTTGTGATGGTGTTTTGGCGTTGCTGTTGATGGTAGTGGTACTCGTGGTGATGGTTGTGATGATGCTAGTGATTGTGGCTGGGATGTTGGTGGTCATAATGTATCAGGAAAGGATACGGATTAAGTCAAACACACATACATGTGTGCGTGCCTTCTGTATTGTGTTGATGCCTAAGACCCTGGATCCCGTCTGATTTCTTACTTGTGTTGAACATGTGTTGAAATGGCAATCGTATTGAGTTCTTTGGGTGATCAATGCATAGCGTTAGAAAACCTCAAGTTGTTTTCCAGGATAAAAATAGAATTACTCCACTCGCTTTCCCTTGATCTGAATTGACTCGCCGCAGGCGCCCCAAAAACATCAAAAAGGAACGGTACACGAGGGATCAATGCGTTCCGGCAGGCGAACTATCGCAAACCGAGTTCAAGGGGTTTGACAGTCGAGACGAGTCTCCCCCGTGGTACTGTGCTTCTACCGATCACAGATAGTGTGCGCATGTGATTGGTGGATGAGCACATATATGGAGACAAATACTATGAGAATAAAGCAAATTTGTGAATGGCTCTGTTCATTCGCAACTGCGAAACCTACGTGCACATCATACCCATGATTCCAGATGCGATTTGATCGTATTGTAATCGTTGTATGGAAGGTGATCTGCATACTGCCATGAGTGGTTGACATTTTTTTGACGGAGGAGGGAGGGGGAGGGAGGCGGACTAACTCGTTCTGTGCATGTGGATAAAATGTTTGGTCAAATGATAACGTTTTGAATGATTCTTTTTGTCAGATCAAGCCGATAGTCTAAGGTGTTCCACAATCGATTGAGCCTAACCGATAATGATTGTTTGAACAAACGAGTGATTCATTTTGGTGTGTTCGTGTACCAGTTTTGTCCGACAACTATCTGCCCTAGTCCAGTGGTATATCTTTGTTAGACCCATTGGGATCCAAAAGGGGGAGGGAGAGTGTGCGATGTTTGCATCTGGTACCATTTGTCTTCCATCTGTTTTTTTCGTTTGGATATACGATACCTAATGTTCCAGTTGGATAATCGCGTTTTGGAGAAATATGGCGAACACAAAGAACAAACGAGCTGATCATTTTCCCTTTTCCAAGTGGTGAGGCGAAGGAGATGAACAGACATTGAAGGTACGGTGCACCGACACCCATCTTCCCAGCTTCTGTAGATTCCCAGAGAGCGTGCGATTAGGGAAAGTGTTTACTTTGATTTTTTATTAGCTGACCACATACTGTTATTACCACATTAATACTTAGCATCTTATCCAGTGATAAAACGCTTGTAACCCAGTTGCCAAGCCCAACTAACAAATGGACATTAAACTGTACCATCCGATTTAAACAAAACAATCAATTAATACGGTTGTTTACAAGTTCGTTGATTTTGAACATTGCCCCCAAAGATGATAATCCCTCCTTTATTGATACTTTGTTTTCGTATCACTGTATCTCACTATGGCGGCGGGTGGAATCAAAACAACTAATTCAAC